TGTATTTAATTGTTTGACATTTGGAGTCATGAATTTCATACATTTCGTTTTAGTGCCATTTAAGTGCAAATTATTAACATTGAACCAATTTACTAATTTAGATATAGCATTATTTACTTTGTCATATTTTAGTAATTATCGACTTAATTTAAAAACTAAAGAAGTGTCATCTGCAAATAATACTATATCATGGTTATGGTATATAAGAAACAGAAAGAAGAGACACGCCCATTTGTACCATCGACCCGCAAGAGCTCGTACTGTTAATGACAACTTTTTGCGTTCTCTTACTTAAATATGAAATCATTAATTTAAGAGCATCACTTCTTCCACCATAGTGTTGCAGTTTTCTGATTATTGTTTCATGGTGAACACAATCGAAGGCCTTGCATAGGTCACAAAATATACCCAAAGCATCCTGTGAATTCTCCCATGCATTAAGGATATAATCAGCTCAACACCGGCATCAGTTGTCGAGCGACCCCTTGTGAAACCAAATTGATTTTTATGAAGTAAATTATTTATATTAAAGAAATATAACATTTGATCAAGAATAATTTTTTCAAACATTTTACTAAGTGTTGGTAGTACAGAAATAGGTCTAAAATTGGCGGGGTTTAATGTACTACCAGATTTAAATAAAGGTATTACTTTACTATGCTTCATTAAATCAGGAAACACACTAGATTCGATACTAGTAAATAAAATAAAATAAATAAATAAATAAAATGAGGCGCGATTGTATCTATTATAGACGCAATAACTTTAACGGAAATTTCCCACAGATCCGCAGTTTTCTTATCATGAATAGCTTTAAATTATTTTACAATATCTTTTGATGATACTTTTATGAAAATTAAAATTCTTTGTACACGTATTCACATTTTGTTTAAGTAATGATTCAGCGACGGCAGGAGAAGAATTCAGTAACTTAGTGGTTAATATCGGAATATCAGTAAAATATTTTTCAAAAACCATTGCTACGTCCTGATCTGATACAGTTAATACGTTCTGTCATGTTGTATTACGTAGACGAATAGTAGTAATATCGCAACGTCACTATACGTCGAACGTAAAATAACGTTCTGTGACTTTCGGTGTGTCATATGGTCACAACGAATAATACCGTCCAACGTATTTAGACGTTTTGTCATATCATACATTGTTGAAAAATAGTGCCTGTATCACAACGTCGTTTTACGTCCAACGTATACGTTTTGTCTTATTCCACAGTGTAAATCACAGAACACTAATACCCTTAGGCGGGGTGTAAATAAATAATGGCTGTAGCACAACGCAACTGTACGTCGATCATGAATTAATGTTTTGTCACGAAATGTTATTGCAATAATAGTGTGTTCTTGACATAACGTTTTAAAACACTCAAACATTTGTCCACCATATAGTAGTAGTCTATTCGACTACCCTGCGTTACTTAAATTTAAAGTCATAAAATAATATAAATATATACAAATAGTTTAAGGTGAGCTTGTAACAGAAATTTCCATCCATAAAAGAAATCAGAATTCGTAAATCAACATTTTTATTAATTAAAACATTATTATTTATCAGTCTTAGGAATCGTAAACTTTAATTATTACCATAATCACAGCCATAAGCTTGGGCTTGCATACAATTATAACAAAAAAATGTATCTTTTGCATATAAAAAATAAAAAATCTTCAAATTTATATAAAAAGTTTTCATGCCATTCTCTAAAACACAGTGCACACAGTGCTGGTTTTGCTTTGCATCCCATACATCTGAAACCAGTTTCCTTACGAAGTTTATTCTTTGCACACATTTTGCATTTGAGGTAGTTCGTTTTCTTTTTGGAGCCAGGAGGAAGTGGAATCTTTTCAGGCCAATGTCCAATGTTACCACTATCGAGATGTATCAAGGAAGGTCCCGGACCTACAACCCTATCTACTTTTCGATTGTCATATTTGGAATGATTGATCAAAAGATCAGGTTTTTGGTCAGGGCTAATACCAATCAAATCTCGTATCAATTCATCTCGAAAATTTAAAAAATCATATTTTGTATTATTGTTTTTTTTTTAATTTTCTATATAAAAAATAACTGTTCCACACGGCTAAATCCAGTAGGCGAAAAAATACTTTTTTGTACCATCTCAAGAATTTCCGGGGAGACGAGTAATATGATACCATCTGGTCAGCTCGATCTATACCGGACATGAATTCATTATATGATACCACTTCCGCTGGTTTTTTTTTTAATTGTCCTCGTCTATTTGTAATGTTAATCATTTTTGGATGGTTCCTTATAGTGATCATTGTTACGGTTCGCTTATCAAACCATTTTGAAATATAGATATTGTTTTTTCTTGCCCATACATGTTCACCTTTCTTCAACTTTTTTTCCATAACCGCCTTCGGGTTTTCTTTACGGTTTGTTCTGAGTGTTCCGTTTGTATGTGTTCTAAGGTCAAGTAATTTCTGAGACAAGCCAAATGAATTATAATAATTATCCATAAATAATTCATGACCTTTCAGAACATATGGTCTCATTTATCTTAGTACAATCTTTTCTGTTTTTTTGCCCTTTTCCAAAGATTCATCTTTTCCAGTATACATTAATATATTTAAAACATAATTACTTGCCTCCGTCAATTCATACAACTTTATTCCATATTTAGCTTTCTTTGATTTTAAATATTGTCTAAATGATAGACGTCCCCTAAATAAAAGGAGTGATTCATCCAATGAAAGTTCTTTTTCGGGTGAGTAACATGCGCGAAAATTCCTGGTAATAGCATCCATAAATATTATTATTATGCTTTTGCCTATAGCACTTAAAGGTCCTATATATAGACACCTTAAAAGTTGTTCAAAAAACAAAAATGGGGTGATAATATAAACTATCTGATAATGTAAAGAGCGTCCGCTTTTGGGGTACGTTGACTTGACCACCTAACATGCATAAACCTAAAAATTTCAGCATCTCACTTCGATGTGTGGGTTTGAATGAGTATGATCGACTGTGTCTAGTTTTCGGCCTATTACTTTGACACATAATTTCGCCATATGCATTTGTGCAATCTATTAGATAATCAAGAATCATAGGTGGAAACAAGCAGTTGAATACATCAGTTATAGTTGTGTTTTCATCTATTGAAAACGTTACTCCTACTGTATCGGCGTCAAAATTAAATTCTGGTATGGAAGTTGTAGTTTGCACCCATTCTTACTCTGTAGATGTTGCCTCAGTGGGACGTGACGAACCTCCTGGTCTATTTTGCATCGCGTTGGGTGAAGGTGGTAGTTCAGCAGAAGACCTAGGTTCTTCCTGAACTATCTTATGGTGAGAGCTTTCAGCCACAATATGTGAAATCGGTGATAAAGTTGACAAATTCAATATCCCATTTTGAGAGGCGTTTGGTGAAGGTAGTATTTCTTCCTGAATTATCTCATCAGGTGACGTTTGCAACAGATTTGACGACTACAAGCCTATTTTGAGAAAAGTTTACTGGAGGTGATAACTCATTTATTTCAGGTTCATGACATTCTTGAATTATTTCATTGTAGCTTTCAGCCACAACAGGTGGAGCCATAGTTGGAGCGCCAGCTAGTTTTAAACGTTTGGCAAGAGGTAAAATTTCTTCAGAGGTGCTCGAGTCATAACCTGGACCCTCCTCTTGAGTATGTAATTGGTAAGGGGTTTCTACATTCCTATTTAGTATTGAGGATTGGTTTGATGACTTATTCATAGACTTTTGGCTCCAATTACTCTCTGAGCTAGAAGACGATTGTCTTACATGTCTTACTGCATCGCCTTCATCACTGCTAGATTCCGAACTAGAATCAGTATTAGGTCTCTGAGACGAGACGTTAACAGTCTTTGATTGCAATTTAGCTTTTATCGACTTCGAACGCTAATTAATAGTAAGAAAACTACTACCTGACGTATCGCCATATGGATCGTAATTTTTATCCGATCCATAGTCGCCATCATCGTCCTGGAACGGATCTACTGCGGTCGAACTATCCGAATCCTCAAAAATCCTCATCGGATTTCTCTTGCGTTTTTCCATCTAAAACTAACAAAATAGCCAGTAAGATTCCATTTTCATAGAGCAATATTGTTTATAACACAGTTCGGAATAAAACAACAAGAAAACAATTACATAAATAATACTTACGATGCTTTTGTGTCTCGACGAAGTTTACTACGAATCGCTCCTGTTAAGCTAAAACGTGCGTGCACCCCCGTTGTGACACAGTCGGACTAAATGTAGGGAAGGGACGCTGGAGGCATGCGGGACGTATAATCACGTTGTGCGTGTGTGTGTAGCGTTGCCACACATTGCCAAGAACACATTTTTGAAATGGTCAAAAACCTAGTCTATATGACAGTAAAGTTCAGAGTATTTGATATGTTGTGACACAAGCTCCAAATCATAGAATTTTTATTTAAAAGTCCATCTGAAATTAAGGTTCCGCCGTACATGTTCTTTTTTTTCGAACGTCTCGGTACGCTGTGTCATATCAAAATCATACATTAAGACGTATAATCACGTACCGCCCGTGAAAGTGTGAAATACCAAGTGATTTTTTCACTAGTTCTCTTTGGCAAAGAATTGGTTTTATTATGAGAAATCTTGCTGGTCATTCGAGAAGACTTATAAATCATGTATTATAAAAAAATATCAAAAAAAAATTAAAATCCATATATCTCAAGACCTGTCAATTTTCGGTTATACATATGGGGGGTCAAATTTGTAGCATTTTGAATCTCCTATCACGCCCTGCTATGAAGTTGTCGAGGCCTGTATTATAATTTTTATTAGTTATTAAAAATGGTATTGTGTTTTAACCCTTTGACTTTAACTTACATTTTTACTGATATAATCAAAAATTAAAAACAAAAAAGTAGTCCTCATTAATTGTTTTAGAGCGAAACTTTTAATTTTTTTGATTTTTTTTTGTTGTAAATATTTTTCAAAAGTTATTTTAAATATAGTTTTTGCAGTTTTGATAATGTTTGTGTTTGATTGTGGTAGAATGGTAAGTAATCATTATGAATTAATTATTATTTATTGTAATTTTACCTATTAAAGCAATGAAAATACAAGATACATTATTAGGAACATGGGTGTCCCAATATGCATGGAAGGTCAACAGCTTCTAACATTCCGAATATTATATTTTATGTTCGATATTCAAAAATTATAGTAACGTTATATATTTCTTTATGTTTTCAGGCTCGGAGGAATACTAAAATATTTCATTTCAATAAAAAAGATGTAAAGGAGTATTCCATGGCTGATAATAGTGATCATGAAGATGCACTAATCTTGGTTGAAGAAGATCGGGCGTTCATTCTCCAGGATATGGAAGCTGGAGTATCTAAAGTTATAATTGAGCTCACAGGTGCACCAGATTCCACCCCAGGACCAGATCTAACTCATGGCCCTTCATCATATCTTGATTCGCCATTGAGTAGTGCAGTACCGGAGTAAGTGGAACACTTATCAGCCTTACCTATTTTCTGAGACTGATTATGACTTTGGTAAGGTAAACATACTGCAACAGTCAGAATCTCTGAAGCCCATAGATATTTTTGAGGCAACCACGAATATCAAGGCGTTGATTGAAGAAATTATACTAACGGAATCCTTGCGCTATGCTCTTAACAATGGTTCAGTTTTCACTACAGACCTTCAAGAAATGACAGCTTTTATCGGTAAGAATTATGTTATGGGTTATCATGTGTTACCTACTCTCAGAAATTACTGGTCTACTGAACCTGATATGGGTGTGGCTTATTTAGTCACAGTTATACCTTTATCGAGATTTTAAGAAATAAGAAGAAAACATATCAACTACAACCCGTTATATTTAATGGAATTCAAAATTGGTTGTCAAAAATTTAGTTATCTTTTTCGATTGCAGTCTTTCTTGGACTCCCCAAATTAATGCAGGGAGCCGTAAAATGTTTGCAGCATGTACTTCACTCCGGAGGCTTAATTACTTTTTACCCATTTCCACCAAAATTACGCTTGCACAATCTTTACTACTCTCTATCTTCGACTATGCTGACATTTGTTACCTTGATATCATCGGTGAGCAACTCAACAAACTTGAGCGACTCCAAAATCTCTGTATATGGTTCATATTTGGGCTTCGTAAATATGACCATGTCTCAGAATACCGTACTAAGCTTAAGTGGCTCCCAATCCGTCTTCGTCGGAATACTCATATACTATCTGCTCTCTACTGCATCTTATTTAATATATCAAGTTCTTTCTATCTAAAAGAACGTTTTAAATTCCTCAGCTCCTGTCATAATTTTTCCTTAAGATCCATAGAAATTTTTTCCCTCCAATGTCCTGTGCACTCCTAGAATTGTTATGACAAATCATTTTCTGTTCTTGCAGTAAGACTTTGGAACTTCTTACCCCAGTCAATTAAAAGTGTTCGATCCTTATAAGTGTTTCAGAAACAGGTTAAGGTATACTATTTGTCTCTCTTACCGCTCTCCCTTCCTCCGCTTAATTATATTCATTGATTTCCATGAAGAATGTTGTCTTTTTAATGCATAAGTTTGTATCTTTATTTATATTTTATTATTTTATTTTAGTTTACCCTACCCATTGTTCTTTTTCTTATTTTTATTTATTTCTTCTTCTGTGTTGTCTGGAAAAGATTGCTATGTAGCATTAAGACCGCCCTTTGGATATCTTTAAATAGTTGTTTATTTTTCCCTTTTAACTTTTCTTAGTGTACAATAAAGAGTATTGTATTGTTAACATTTTTGCAATAACTCGGAGCAACCACCACCTACATTCTTTTCTCGAGAGCTGAAGTTTCAGTCGTGACTGCCTTGGTGCTTCGGTCAGTTGAGACTGGGTTTCTTTGTTTGAAGACATGAGATAGTCAACTAACGCTCTTCTAAACTGCGCGATGGAGATGTTGTTCTAGTTGTTCTTGCACAACACCAAAGCGTTCACAACAGCTGTATTGAGAAGTAAATCGAATCCTAATTTTCGATACCATTTTACTGTCTTCCTTAGCGGGCTCGACAAATCCACTACTTATTTGTCGGACCAGATACTTCATTATAGTCCAGAATTATTATCCTTGGTTTTCTTTTTTGAACACCCCTTTTATTAATTGAAACTAATTTTTACGTTAATTTTAACTTTTTAATTCCCGACGTCGGGAGCACCCATGGTCACGGGAAGGACTGAGGTGTTTGATGTCCCGATGTGATAGTTAGCCCGGCTACCTTCAGATTTTGAATATTAATTTTTGGTCCGATCTTGCATAAACTCTAAAATACAATTCACAATGAAGTTTTATTTAGTTTTAGTTAGTTTTTCCTAGATGTTTTAGTCATCCGAAATCCTGATAACACTATTGGTCACACTGTGTATAGGAAAAAGACCCATACTAACCGATATTTAAATGGTTAATCGCACCATCATCCATCACAGTTTGCTACCGTGGGAAAATCTTTGTTTCAGAGAGCACGAGGGATCTGTGACAGAAAATCTCTGGTCACCGAGCTTCAGCACGTCGAGCAAGTATTGCAAGACAACAAGCTTCGGGTCCCGCGCCTACGTCACAGTGACCGAGTGAAGCCAGCCACAGTCGAGCGTGCGCCTGCTGTACTACTCTATGTCAGAGGAGTCACAGACAAGGTTGGCTACATCTTGAAGCAAGCTTCCATTAAAACATACTTCAAGCCGCCGAAGAAGATTAGTCAATTTTTACCATCCGTCAAGTGTCATATCCCTCTACAAGATGCAGGAGTCTACAAGCTGGATTGTGAATATGGTCTCTCTTACATAGGATAAACAAAAAGATCTATTAAAACCCGCGTGAAAGAACATATTTGAAGCACCGACGTTCCGGGAAGTCTGCAGTGTGTGAACATGTTCTAGATCGTTCCCGTCATTACATTAGATAAAGGATAAAATTAAATAATAATAAATCTTTACATGTAGCGTTATCATTCGATGAAATGGCTATTCGCAAGTTGATCGAATGGGACGGAAAAAATTATTTTGGGTACGTCAATATCGGATGTGACTTGGATTCACAAGATGTACCACTTGCTAAAGAAGCATTAACTTTTATGATAACTGCCGTAAATGACACCTGGAAAATATCCGTGGGGTACTTTCTTATTATATATATCTTAATTTCTTATATGACTCATTCACCGCACTGCAAAAACCTTTATTGATACAGCAATTATATCATTACTCAAAAATTCTGGAGCTGAAGTTGTGTCGCTCACTTTTGACGGTGCTTCAACCAATAAAGCTATGTGCAATATTTTGGAGTGCAATGCATTCAATTATTCTTTTAAATCTAATGATGATGAGGTAGTATTACAGTAGTACAACAGTGGTAGAGCCAAGCGGTAGCTTTTGCTGTCGCACGGATGGGCCAGCTCGAACCGGGGTGGTACCACGACCTCACAGAATACCAGCGTGAAGTAGAGGTTTACCTCTGCGTTGCGCTTGGTGACTGCAGGTGGCCGGAGGCCCAATTCCCCCCCCCCCCCCTCCCCATCAACATGGTAGTGGAATTAAATAAAAGACTACCCCAGGAGGGTACCAGCACTCCTGGAGAATCCCTCGCTGAGCATCCACGACCAAACTACTTCACTTCTGAGCTTGGGTGCTCAGGCTGCCCCGCGTATTGGAGGGGGGGCAAACTTCCGCTCGATCAGGTCTCCGTCGATGCCCCTCTGGGCTCTTCGGACCATTGTCTGATCCGGAGCACGGTGCCACTCACGCTCCAATCGCAGTTGCGATCTGCAGCTTGCTGCCGTGTTTGGCACTATAAGTCAGCTGATTGGGACGGGATGCGGTCTTTTTTTGCATCCTACCCTTGGAGGCGGGTTTGCTTCTCGCCGAAAGATCCCAGCGTTGTTGCCGATTCTGTTGCTGATGTGGTACTTCAGGGTATGTAACTTTTTATTCCATCCTCTGTGGTGCCCATCGGAGGCAGATCCCAGCCATAGTTTGGTCGCTCCTGTAAATTAGCATCACGCTATAAGCAGGAGTGCTACCGGGCCTGGGCTGACGCATCAAAGTCTCGGGATTTAAACACCAGCGCACTTATAAAGAAGTATAATTCCGCCTCCAGGTCCTTCAAAAGCGTCATTGCCAAGGCAAGGTCTGAGCACATCGGCAGAATTGGCGAGAAGCTAGTTTGCCTTCCTTCGGCAACCCGTGCATTCTGGTCTCTCGCCAAGGCTGTCCAAGGGAACTTCTGTCAGCCATCCCTTCCATATCTGCACAGAGAGGACGACTCACTGGCCCATGCCGAAAAAGACAAAGCCGATCTGTTGTGCTCTCTTTTTGCGTCTACTCGACTCTAGATGACGGGGGGAATACACCACCGACCATCCCGCGATGTGAGTGCTCCATGCCGGATGTGCGATTTACACAGCGCTCGGTTCGCAAAGCACTCTTCTCCCTGGACGTCAGCAAGTCGAGTGGGCCCGATGGAGTCCCTCCCATTGTGCTGAAGACGTGTGCTCCGGAGTTGGCACCAGTTTTACCGCGTCTTTTCCGGTACTCCTACTCCCAAGGCGTAGTCCCGAATTCATGGAAGACAGCTTTGGTCCACCCGATCCCTAAAAATGGCGACCGCTCAGACCCATCCAACAACAGGCCTATCGCCATAACCTCCTTGTTCTCCAAAATAATGGAATCCATTATAAACTGCCAGCTCATGAGGTACCTTGAGGATCACCAGTTGATCAGTGACCGCCAGTACGGTTTTCGTCGGGGTCGATCAGCAGGTGATCTTCTAGTTTACTTAACTCATAGATGGGCGGAGGCAGTAGAGTCCAAGGGGGAGGCATTGGCCGTTAGTTTGGACATAGCGAAGGCCTTCGATCGGGTCTGACACAAGGCGCTTCTTTCGAAACTTCCTTCCTATGGGCTTCCCGAGAAATTGTGCAAATGGATCACCAGTTTCCTTGCTGATCGGAGCATCAAGGTCGTAGTAGACGGTGCATGCTCTGATTTCAAGCCTATCAACGCTGGTGTTCCACAAGGCTGCGTGCTATCACCAACGCTGTTTCTCCTGCATATCAATGATATGTTGCTAACTGGTAGCATTCATTGCTATGCAGACGACAGCACTGGGGATGCCTTATATACCGGCCGTGCCAATATTTCTCGGGAAAACGTCGCCGAGTACCGGGACAAACTTGTGTCTGATGTCGAGTCTCTGCTTAACAAAGTCGCGGATTGGGGCCGACTAAATCTAGTCCAGTTCAATCCCCAGAAGACAAGTTTGCGCGTTTACCGCTAAAAAGAAACCCTTTGTCGTATCTCCTCAGTTTCAAGGCACTCATCTTGCTGCCTCAGCCAGTATCGGAATCCTTGGCGTCGACATATCGAATAGCGTGGAGTTTCGTGGTCACTTGGAAGGGAAGGCCAAATTGGCCTCTAAAAAGCTTGGCGTCCTCAGCAGAGCGAGACAGTATTTC